TATGTGTTTTTTTACTTTTATTTGAACGAAGTTCTTGAAATAATTTAATGCTGGTAAACGAAAATCTTTAATTTTGCTCAAAATTAATGAAGCTTCCCGATAACTCATTTGACAAATTTGTAATAGCGATACGTCTGCATTCACCATGATGCCTTTCAGTTTTTCAACTGCAGCTTCAGTGTAGCTGCGCAAGCTAACATTAGTAGCATTGGAGATCGCCAATATTGATGAATCAACAGTTAATCTTGATTGTTCCCGTTTCTTACGCAAGTAATCGGCAGTTTCTTGATCCCGATAAAAGCCAAATCCTGCATAAACAGCCTGAGAAAGTTCAATGTCTACAAAAGTCTTTTTACAATTTTTCTTGCCCAGAATCAAAGCTTTGATATATAAATCGCTATATTTCATAAAAAACTTCAAAATCTTCAAGCGAGTGTAAACGTTCCAGAAAAATCCATTCGACGACAATAACTGAATCATCTCAGCGATGTAAAAAGTAATGGGATATTTTTTCAATTCAGATGATGTATAATCTGTGCTAAACTTAATATTCTCGCTCAAACTGTCCAGACTCGCGCCTCGTTCCAAGAGTGACTTTGTCAGCTCATAGTCCAAAAGCGACACCGCCGATTCCAGAGGTGTGAAACCTCGAGCATTTCGTGCCTCGATATTCGCTCCTTTCGAGACGAGTAAATCGACGATCTCCTCGACTGGTCTTCTCTTCTTCTCTTTCTTGTCGTCGTCTATATTGTCGGTACAGAACTCGGCACAGTCGCACACACGCAGTCGGGCCAACGCATGAAGCGGAGTCGACTCATCTTCTTTGTCCAGCTGATTTGGCTCCGCTCCGTTTTCCAACAGGACTTTCACGACATCCACTCGATGGTACTTGCAGGCCATGTGCAGCGGCGAGCACGTGTAAGAGTCGACATTGACGTCCGCGCCTTGGCTTACGAGTCGTTTCACCGCCTCGACATCGCCACTGAAACTGGCTCCATGTAAATAGGTGAATCCATGATCGTCGCAATGATTTTCTTCGGAATCTTTCAGAAAAAAATTAATAACGGACTTAGCTTCTGGTTCATCATAGCTATGATATTTGACACATTTGCTTTTCTTTTGATCAACGGAACACGTGAATCGTACCAAGAGAGGTTTAAAGTTTTTTAAGTTTGTTTGGTATTTATACAAATAATGAATTGCAGACTTTCCATTAATAAATATTTTATGAATGTTTAATTCCACGTGGTTCTTTATAAATGTAAATACTTCGAAAAGCTTCTTATCCAATGCGATTTTCAAAAACGTAGATGGATAACGTTTTACCGTATTTGTTAATTCCTTCATTCGTTTAAAATCAGTTTCAAAAGTATTTCTTCGAAACATTTTTAATATATCTCTTATATTTTTCTCGTTGAAACAAATGGTTTCAAAATTATTTTCTGCCATGATAGATTTGGATTCTTCTACTGAGCACGTAATCGAAACTAATGACACACCTTCACTTGAAACAGGTAGAATTTGAAACGAAGATGTGAACAGCTTGGCGCACTTATATAGACTGATGCTTGTAATGCACACTTCTAATGAATAAGCATTTATTTTAGAAAGTAGATTAGATTTTCCGAACGATTCAGCCTCCAACATGTGCGTTGCGCAGTGCGCAATAGATGTCACGCATTGGCTTTTTGGCCCGCGCACACTTGAAATTAAAATGAATTTTCGAGTGCTGATAATAGTTAACCCTTTAACGACTGAAATGACCATTTTTGGACAACATTTATAGCGATGAATTACACCGACTAAAATTGTTTAAATTGTCTTTTCAGATATCATTTCTTACGTAAAGTTTGATGTACTTTTCGAATCTGGGATCAGAATTTAAAAAATTTATTTTATGAAAAGTTATAATCAATCCTTTCTTCAAAAAATGATGCGAACCCGTTTTATTTGTCACCTCATTTAATTGGTCGAGGAGTAACCGCGCCTGGCTTTCAGATTGGTTGGAATTTCGCGTCGGTCGTTCATATAATTTTTTTAGTGGGAAAACTTAAATGTTGCGTTTGCTGAAATGTTTATATTTGCAAGTCATTGGTCATTTTAATTACAACGAGATTAGTTGGCGCGCGCGAGCGCGCTTCATATCACTAGTTTTGCAAAAAAAAATATGTAATTTCGAGAAAAAAATCTCGTTTAACTCAAATTTCAACACGGAAAAAAGGTTCGCTCGTGCGTCTCACGCATATAAATTTGGTCAATGGCTTGTATACTTTATTGTAAAATAGTTATAATTACGAAATTCAACATGGCGATCATAAATTTGACTCCCGAAGACCTGTATGTCATAAAATGATTTCGACAATTTTTAACTTGATAACTATCAACTTTACGAGAAAAAGTTGCAGAATAAAAAGTGTTTAAAATCGATCAAAGAGCACATCTGATTTTTTCTGAATTTCAGGAACGATTTTTGGATTTCTGGATAACGCCATTTTTTCAAAAATTCAAAAATCGCTGTCGTAAATCGTGTTGTCATTGCGATAATTAAATTGAAGACGAATAATTTTAAACGCTTAAAAGTCATCATTATACTGAGCTGTTTTGGGTTCTGTCAACTAATACGGCATCAGTAGAGTCTGATCTCTACAATGCGTTTGTATTGACGTGCCTAAAAAATGCCTCTCTAATAATGTGGATGTTAACAGACTCAATAGAGCCCTCAAAAATCCACTGCAGTTATCGGTATCATTTCTTCAACCAGTTGTTACCTATGAACTGATAAAAAGAGGAGCAAGTTCTATAGACTTTGAATTACCGTTTTGTGGTTTTTGTCCAGCAATGCACACCGTAATGAGGAAAGAAGAAATTTAAATGGTATACAAAAATTAAATTTAACTGCTCGCATTGTAGCATCTTATAAAATTTTGTGCGAAGCTTGTATATATGCCGAAGAAAAGTACAAGAAATTTTTTGATTGTTTAAGAACATTTAATTTAGAAAACAGTGATAATTATAATAAGGAAGAGCTTTCAAAACCTCATGTAATAAAAAATAATAATTTGTTGGTCATTAACAAATATTACACTGTTCTAGATATAGTTGATAGTCCAAATCCTGTACAAATATTGCGATTATTAAAATGGAGAGATTATGTGAGAATCAGTAAATTTTCAAGCATAGATCAGGACACCGCAACATATTTGCGGAATCTCATCAGTAAATTCTTTATAGAAAAAAGAGCTCAGCTTTTTCACAATATTATGTGGCCTGATTTATATGACGTACAGGAAATGCTTTTTACGAAGTTCTCAACTACAGTTATAATGAAAATCATAGACGCATACTAGATTGACGCATAAGATTTGAGCTATATAAAGCCTAGGCTTTACAAACTCACTTGCGTGAACCGCACTTTTACTCTTCGCCACCTAGCGGCGACACGGCTCACTACAATACATACAACAACGTATATGGTGCATTATTTCAAAAGCGTGATATGACATGGCTAATTGTTATTGTAGCTATTAGAAAACTTTTAAAAAATGAAAACTAAGACGGTAGAACCTTTTATTTTATTGAATTTTACCTTCCGCAACTATAAAATTTCCATAAATTACGACCACATTGATTTGCCAGCCGGATAAACATACAAAATGTCCCCTCCGTGACCTGTCCTGAACTCAGAATCGATTGTTTTCACTCATTAAACATATTTTTACAAATATCCAGCAATATTGTGATACATGGGCCTTATTCTATACATCCTAAAGAAAGTTTTTTTGCATCACTCGTCACCTTAAATAGTTTCAAAACAATTGTACATAAATAACAAATGTGTCCTTAAATTGTGTGAAATTTTACATCATTACAAATATAGTGCCAGTAAACGTGCTAGATAGTAATTTTGACCTCTCTAACTATACGAGGGTCATCTTTCAGAACTAAGGTACTCGATTTTTACCCGTAGAGTATTCAAATCTTCATTGCAGCTTCGCTATAAAAATAGTTGCACACGAAAATCGTAATTGTAAGATAAAGTGTCCCCTCTGTGATCGACGAGTTTTTGAGCTAGCACTTTTTGTTTTTGACTATGGGGGCATAAAAACGTTCGTTTTTACAAACAATTTTTGTGGGTGATCGGAAAAAAAATTTTCAACTTTGTTATCGTCGTGAAATTTGATAAAAGTGCGATTTGGTCCCTACGTGACAAATTTTCATGTTTGCTATAAGAAAATAATCGCATTAGATGATGGCCGATAAAAAGTAAATATTCCATGAAAAAAACAAAGAATGAAGTGTCAGAAACTACGGGAGTACGGAAAAATTAAACTCGAAATAGAAAAAAGTAAGTTTTTTTGTTTTTCCAATATTGCCCATTTTACCCACTCCAAATATCACACTTTTGAAATAATGCACCATATAGATATAACGCGAGAGCACGAAGCTCATTTTTTCCCAAAGCCATTTATACTTACGATACTACGCGTACTGTCACTGCGCACATAAAAATTGTTCCTCGATATTTATATAATTATATATTCTTCTTCATATTCAATTATCATAATTTACAAGTGTTTTTAATATTTAAATATATATTCTCTATTTTTATGTTAAGCTACCCGAATATTAGTAACCAAATTGTTAGCGAGAAAACATTTTATATTCTAAAAAATACATTCCAATATTTAACAAATGAAGAATTGCTTATGCTACAATCCAAACGTAAATAATTAACGACAAAGTGGGCTAATAAGATTTTCTTGTAAAATATAATCGTAAAATATTCTTGTAAATTTTGTAAAATAATCCGTGCTCGTTTGGTCTCTAACCAATATTATATACATTGTTTATGCGAGTTTTATCAATTTTAACTGTACAAGGTAACCGTCTTGTACAAAAGGTTTCTTAAAAAATTCTAGTCAAGCTAGTATGTAATGCAACATTATTCATTTCAAAGCTTAATTTTTTTAAATTAGTCAATTCAAATAAAAAAAAGCAAATTTTAAAAATTTATATCTCGATTTATTATCAAAAAACTTCTACCCAACAGCCATTCAACAATTACCTAACCAATTGAAATTTTAAAATATTTTTACAAAAATTGTATAGAACTTATAGAAAATACATTTTAAACTCTCTTAAGTAAAAGAAACATTCTCCAGTCACAAATTCATTAACAGTAAAGCTTCATGCTTTATACATGTAAATGCGTCTATTTTACATTGAATTACGTAAGGAATCTCGTAAAAATGTCTCGCGATTAAATCGTATTGTCATTCAGTCTTATAATGAATGCACCCCTTCTATAAATGCCTCTACTGAAGGAATGGGTGTTTCTGGTGTTATTCCATGACCCAAGTTGGCTATGTAACGGTGTTTGCTGAACGTAGCAACCATATCTGCTGCTCTTGTACGAACTTCAGACTGAAATTATATAAAGTATGACGTTATATTTTACATTCTTTTACTTACAATAAAAAAATATGGTGTGAAATGACTACGCACTGGTTCTGCAAATAGGGCCATGGGGTCCATATTTCCTTGTAAAGTAACATTTGGGCCAACCTTTTGTCGTGCTTCTGCTGGGTCAACTGTCCAGTCCAATCCAATTACTTCATAATTTGTTTCTTTGGCAAAGATTTCAAGGCAGTCCATTGTAATTCCTTTTGGAAATGCAATCTGAAAAAACAGTAACAGTTTTAATTATTTGGATTTATTTTATATCAATACTTTGACATTATTATATTTACCATTGGAATATCAAGTTTTAATTGAGTCAGCTTTTCTCTTACACGGTCATTGATTTGTTTTAGATATTTCAAAGAATAGTTTTTGAATAATTCTTGATTTAAAAAGTCTCCATGACTTTCAAATACTTGAAGAAGCTGCAAACATTTTTATGTTTTAGATTCTTTTCAAAAACATGTACAGATATTTATGAAGAATGAAACACTGAAATACCTGAGCTCCAGACTTTGCTTGCATCACAAGGTAATCGACGATAACATCAGTAAGCATCTGTAACAACTTATGAGACTCTTCTGGATACTTATATAGCCATTTCCTAGCTGATACCATAGTAGAACTGCCACCTCCTTGGATCATATATCCCATGAGTGTCCACTACACAGAAATGAAATTTTTACTATTCTGGTATTTAAAACTTCCAAACTAGTAGCAAATTACTTACTGGAGCACCAGTGAAACCGATAAGTGGAACTTTGCCCTCCAAACTGTGCCTAGTGAGCGTAATAGCTTGGCCCACGTATCCCAATTCTTTTTCTACATCGGGCATTCGCAATCTTGACATGTGTGTGGGATCGACCAGTGGTTCAGGTAAGACAGGACCCTGAGAATTAAGTAAAGGTTGCTCTCAATTCATTCTCTGGGAAATGTTACCATAAAAACACAGCGTATACTCACAACGCCAGGCCTCATCTCCACCACGAGACCCATCGCCTGAGGTATGACCAGTATGTCGGAGAAAATAATGCTTGCGTCCAACTTGAACCTCCTGATGGGCTGGAGCGTGACCTCGCAGGCCAGCTCGGGCGTCCTGCAAATGGTGAAGAAGTCGTGCTTCGATCTGCACTCCCTGAACTCCGGCAGGTATCTGCCGGCCTGGCGCATTATCCATACCGGCACTCTGTCGATCTCCTCGCCTCTGGCAGCCCTGAGTATTCGGTCGTTCTTCAACGCCGGGAAGTCATCGGCCAGCGACATACTGCTGCGAATTACGAGCAAAAAAAGTAACGTTCAGAAGTGTCGTACGATTTATCGAGCTCGAGAAGAAAACAAAGTGCAAAGTTATGTGTGCCTACTACAATTGCACGACAATTAGAAGAAGAAGAAGAGGAGGAAGAAATGACATTACGTAATTCTGAGTTCTTTTCCGCACGATATGTTATTGTAAACAAAACGAAAAAATCAGCGATCGACCACTACTATGGGGCACGTACACCACACGACACGATATCTTTTATTAATCAGCGGATCGGTGACATAGGCAATTATGATAATAATGAGATGCCCGAATTTTGATTACACATAAGCTGCTTCTGCTGCCGTTGCTGCTATAGTTGCTACTGCTGCGGCGTGACGGAGGCAATGCACCGCGCAGCGCACGAGGCAGCCGAGCACCGCCGCGGTCTTGGACATCTGACGATGATTTCCGCAAGTGATTCGCTCGCGCCACAAGCCGATAATATCGATTCCTCTTCTTCATTCTTTTCACGAGTTTCTCGCGACCGTCGATATAAACTTACCGGATAATATGGTATATAATCGCCGAGTCGCTACGCAGCGCCGCCGTCACCGCAAAAGTTTACACATAATTTACAATATTTAAGTATCATATACACTCTGCAGTGCGCAGCTCACGATGATGATTCACCGTAATTACTAACTCGTACTGTACTAATTGTTACTTGTTTAAAACGGACAAGTGCGTATATTATGTTATTCAAACGTTGCGCGAAGTTATCTCCGTCATTGTTTTACTATTTTTTCTTTCAACTTTACTTCAGCGACGAAATTTCAGAGCGTCGCTTATCGAGTTTCCGCGGGTAATTTATATATTCGAACTCGGTGCCGATTAAAAATTAGCGAACTCTTTTTCTCAAATGTCAAAATACACACGCAAACACACCAATATGTGACAGTTAGAAAAGAGAAATCGAACGACGGCCGCGTCGTCGATAGATCATTTTCTCGCGTTGACAGATACACACAACTATAATTATAATGAATACGATTGTGAGAGACGCTCGCGCGCGAGATATACATCCGAGTCGAGTGTTTTGACAGGCAGCGGTAGCAGCAGCGAACGCGTGCCATTGAACAATCGTAACTCAAAAATCCTGAACCAATGCAATTGCTATTCGAACCAAAAAAAAGGACAAGAAACTTTGCAAGTACGCGCGAGGTATACACAAACCGTTTCGGAGTAATTCGCACGGCTCATGCTCTCGATACATTACTCACGTTTACGTTACTATATACATTTTGTCGCTGGTCGCCGTTGGGTGTACTGCATACACTACTCGCACACACACACACACACGAACACTTGGTATAACGTTGATACATGTATTGGTGTGTTCAGTGTTTACGAGGCGCTACTCGCGTCAGTCTGTGCGCGTGTGTGTGTGTGTAAGTGTATATGTGGAGCAGCACACCGAACACAAGGCACGCTCACGGCCCGCCGAGCTCTCGGCTCAGTTCTACACACACTCGGGGCGTACGCACCTATATATCTACTGGGTAACCTACACGCGAAACGTCAGTCTCGTATCCGCCGTCTCTCGTCGTCGTCGTCGTTGTTGTGTGCATTACATTGTTTAGACATTAAAATACACGTATATAATAACACAGGGTCGGCAACCTCGATCCAACCTCTTTTTTTCTACTATTCTCGTGTCCGTTGTCATTGACAGTTTTTTTACACTTACGTCGGTATAGTAAGGAGGTGCGCGAAGTAAACGAAAAAGAAGGAAGAAGTGTGCGATAAATATAATCGAGTGCTCACAAGCGACGCAACTGTATATCATCGTCGTCGTCGACGTCGTCCTTTGAGAGCTTCTCTCAAGCTGCAGTGCCGTGGCGCCGAGACACACATCGTCGTCGATGACAAAAGTAAACACAAAGTACGAGCAAAGCTTTCATTTCTTTCTATAACGAACGATCCCTTACTTCTCTCGCTCGATTTTTTTGCATTCATTCATTACCTATAATAATGAAATTTATAACGCGGAGAGTACGGGAATCGACATCGAAGGTTCGTGTGTATAAATGTGCGCGTTTATAATATCGCGGCCAAGAGAATCGTCGTCACGCGGCCCGAGTGTGTGTTTATAACTGTGCGGGATGCAGTACAGCTGATTCACGGCACGCATGTATACACACGCACACACACACACACACATAGGTATACAAGCACGCGCTGCTGCTGCTGCTGCTTCGCAAGCTGCGCAGAGAGAGAGAGACTTATCTCTCGCTCCGATCGTCGTAATTGTTATAAAGCGAAAACTACGTCGGCTACGAACGCATCTCCAACGACAAACTTTTCTTTTTTTTCGTAAAAATCCATTTTCCATCTCGCTTCTCGTATTATTTCATTGTGATATAAAAAAATATCGAACGCACGAATATCGCCTATACCGATATAATTCAAGTCGATACACATTTTAAATTAGAGAACCTGACGCGATGATGCACATTGCGCCACGTACGTACGCGCGTGCCGCGTTTATTCATTATATGTACTCTATTATAGTCGTGTGCAGGTGTTAGTGGTGGTGGTTGTGTATGTGTGTGTGTGTGTTTGTATCTCTTTGTGTCACACTCACACACGCAGCAGACACGCATTTACGTAGCGCAATTAAAAGCGCCGATGGCATACTCCATCTTTTTTTTTTAGTATTTTCCGTCGTTGCGAGAACCGAAACTTTGCGATTTTATTTAATCGATACATAGGGGGCAAAATACATATATTTTTTTTTCTTCGTTTCCCGGTATATTTAAGCGGCTAAGCATTAACAGGAAATTCGCGACGATCGAAAGAAGAGCAGTATAGAGCGCTCGGCTATGGAAACGCATAAAAGAAAAGAAAGAAAGAAACAACAGGAATTCGATTGACCCCTCGGTGTCTCGACCTCATACTTCTACTAGCGAATCCGCTATTTTTTTTTTTCGTGCGCGATTATCGCGGTTTCGATTCTCTCCGCAAGCCTGCGTTTTCCGAGGCTATTATTATCAGTGCCGCGGCGTAACGAAGGAAAATCGCGAATTTCTCTTTCTTCCTCCTCTTCTTTTGTGCACTCGATCGATCGATAATATTTCGTATAGACGAAAATAGTCGCAAAAGAATCGGTCCGGCGTGATATTATGTAAAAGCACAAACACGAGGCATAAGGAAGAGAGATAGAAAGAAAAGAAAACGAAGCGCGTCAAGGCAATTGTCTCGTCGGCTTTTCGTGCAATTTATTACATATAGACTCGAGGAGACGCGATGGCATAATATTTCCAAGCCGATTTCGCTTGATTCCTTCCCGATCGTTCGACCAACGGCAAAAAATAAAGAAGACAATTAAACCGAAAACCGCAGCTATTTCGATCGAATAGCGCACGATAAAACAAAATGCCGATTCTCCTCCTCCTCGTCGTCGTCGTAGTCGTAGTCGTCGTCGACGACGAACGACGGGACCGGCGACGTTGCCATATTATTACGAAAAATTTTACCCAGCGAGTGCACCACAGCGCAGCACAGCTGTGGAGAGATAGCACAAGTGCACAGCACGGAGAAAGACACTCCGTACAGACCGCGGCGCGCTCAAAACGAAAAATCGTTGCGGAGAAAGTCTCTCTCTCTTTCTTTCTCTCGGCCGAGGCTCGCAACGGTGCATTTCGACGCGTATATACACGGCTCCATAGTGTAGGAGTAGTATTATGCGTTACAGCGAAGAAAATTCAACGATATTATAAAATATTCTACGACATAGACGCGTTTATATTACCGATCTGCATATAAATATTACTCGTACGTAATCGACGCGTGTGTGTCGCGAGAAAGAAAGTAACGTAACGAGTACAAGTACATAATGCAATATGTAACGTCGTGCTCGGTGCAATGGGACAGAAGCGAGAGAGAAAGAAACGACAACAAATAAATATAAAAATAAAAGAGAAGAAAAAAAAACAAACCCATGAATATAAATGAATGAACAAACGAACGCGGCCGTACACCGGGGCGACACTTTCACCGCGAACCGATGACGCGCCTCGCCGGTCTTTTTTTTTGCTTCTTTTCTCGCTCCGACCATATATAAAGCGAACAAATGTATAAACACATCGCGGCTGCGCTTCTCTGCATTATAATATTATCGGTGCGCGAAAGACAGAGAAAACCTGTTTCGTTGTCTTTCCTTTAACGCGGGCGAATTTTCAAGTCACGCGACACATCACGACGAAAACGATGACGGTTCTATTCTCTTTTGTTTATTTATTTATTTTTTTTTTTAATATATATATCTCGCGCGGGTATGGCGTTTTTCGCGTCTAAGTTTAAAACATTTTTTCGAGAAGCTTCGGTTCGACACCGAAATTCAATAACGCCGCTAAAAATAATTATGCGCCTCGGCGCGGTAGAGCGAAACTCGTTTTCGCGCGTCTGTCGCACGCGGGGGGCGAGGATCCTTTTTCGTACTCCGACATGCCCCGAGGAAACGTTATTATATACGATTAATCCTTCAATCGAAGCATCCAGAAGCCCATATATATATAAGCTATGCTTATGTATAAAAAATGACACGCACACACACATGCGCGCGACCGGTGCATTGACGAAATTTTTAGTGCAAAATTGCAAGGCCAACCGCTTCTGAGAGTGCAGCAAAGCCCCGCAGGCGAGAGGTGAGAAAGAGAGAGAGGCATAAACAATCTTTTAATGGCTTAAAATTAGCGCACATATCTTTGACGATTTCTTTTTCTCTCTCTCGCTGTCGATATCGACGCGCGCGTGCGTAACGCAACGTCAAAGTTTTTCTGCCCGTGTGTGTCTTCTGCCTACAATAATAACGATAATAATATATCGTAAAAATAAATCACGCGACAGATGCGCGCGCCGCGAAAGGAACGAAATGACAAAAAAAAAACAAACGCAAACTTTGCAATTTTCATAAATTACGCGGTATTAGTACACGCGACCGCGATATTATTGTGTTGCGTTTCGACGACGATCGACAGATAATATATAGATGATAGGCGAGAAAAAACCTTTGGAGAAAAAGAAACGATCTGAAATTACGCGTGAGAGAAAAGAGCAAAAAAAATGCGTCGGTTTTATATAAACTTTGTTGCATCGAATACCGCACGGACACGCACACACGACAATTAATTAATAATACACATTACAACGCACACTGTATCGATATCATTACAGGCTGAGCAATGTGACCTAGACTCACATTTATAGCGTGTGATTTTTCAATTTCGAAAGTTTCGGGCGAAGAAAAAAAAAGGCAAATGGGAATGGATGCAAAGGAAAATCATCGCGTTGCGATCGCGGTCAATTGCATCAATTGATCCGATTTTTTCTTCTC